ATATAAGGAATAATCTAAACCAAGTGGTAGAATATGTTACAAGGGTTCCGTACACATAAAGAACGATGAAATCCAAGTTATAACTAATAAGTTTTGACCCGTAGAAGTTTTACGGCAAAATCGACACGACACTGGGAATCGTAAAAAGTGAATTTACGATAAAATACTTTCTAGCATTAGCGATCTAAACAAAAGGCATAGTATATGTTAAACTGAGAGTGTGCATAAAAAGAACGTCCAAATCTGACTTCGTATGAGGAAGTTATGATTTTTCTAAGATTTAGCATAACAGTGCACAGCCCGAAAATTTGAATTTTAGATCAGTCGATTTTTAGCCAAAATAATCTAAACGAGAAATGAATATATCGTTAATAGGAGTTAAACGATAGAAAGATAGTCGAAAACAAAGCTCGTATGCGAAAGATATGGATGAAGTTTAGTCTCTACTCTTCGAGCACGGCGAATTCGATACAGTTTTGTAAATCCGAGATAGAATGAGAATTAACCATCAGCGTCTAAATAAAACTTGTAGTACTCATAAATACCAAAATGTGGATATAAATAACATCACAAACGGAGCTCGTATGCGAAAGATATGGACAAAGCTTAGTCTCTACTATTCAAGCGCGACGAATTCGAATAAAGTTTTGTAAATCTGAGATACAATGAGAATTAGCCGACAGGATCTAAATGAAAGTTGTAGTACTCGTAAATAGAAAGGCGTACATATATATAACGTAGAAAACGGAGCTCGTACGTGGAAGATACGGATGAAGCTTAGGGGCTACTCTATGATAAAATCCCTATAAATAAAGGATATGAATCCTTCATATTTTCCTCACACCATAAGCCCCTCTTTCTCTCTATCACTTCTCTCTAACCTCCTTAAAACCCTACCAAGTATTGGGAACCTCACTAGCATGATAAGGAAGCCCTGGAGCACCTGACGGCTCCGAAAAGAAAAGATTCAGCTCGGAAACACTTCTCCAGCGAAGCCCGATTTTTTAATAAAAACTCGATGTAAGTGAGCTACGCCTACACTATTTCTAATATAAATTTTATTTAAATATAGTAATGTTATTAGGACATTATAATAATTGTTTGGGCTATTATTATGTGTTATATAGGTTTCGTTATAATACCTTTTTGACCACTCGCGGTACGGGGAATCTTATTTAAAGGGCCGCATAAGGTTGTTGGATTTCAGAAGTGCTATATGCCAAAATGGTCCTGCCCTCCGGTGTTTTATGTCTCGCCCCTGTCTGTACATAGTGGGTGAAGAGTATTGTTTAACTCTTATATAATAGTAATAATAGCTAGAATATTAATTAGTCTCGGTGAATATTAGACTAAACCCTAGCTTTAATGATACTAGGTTTTGTCGATGGAAATTGTTTTAAGAGTAACGAAGCATTGTCTGAGTTCGGAATCACCACCTCAATAGGTGAGTGAATAGTTACTTTCATCTTACACATAGATATGAAGTATTTTAATATAGATTACGTGCTATGTGTGCATATTATCTGAATACTTGCTGTCTATGCTGGGTGAAAGATTTTTATACATGGTTTATATGATTTAAACTGTATATGTATTTTAAATCTACAAAATGTGTTGGGTAAAACATGGGTAGATGATATAGTTGTTGTGTGACAAAATAAAATAACGATAGGCCTCGATATAGATGTTATTGATGATCCAGTCATCTAGCGGAGTATAGATCACTACAAGAAAAATCTTAAATAGCTATGGAAAGTTACTATGGAATCAAAATCCGTTGCTATTTTACTATGGAATATGCTACAGAACAACTTGTCATAACTATTTTGCTACATAAATGGTTACGGAATTGC